CATAGCATTTAATTCTAAGCAAGAACTAACTCTTATATTGTGTTTTAGTAGACAATCGCTTATGCGCTATCCGATTGAATGGGCAGTGAAAACTATCAAAAATAAGGACATTTGCCGTTTTATCTTCCTACGCTTGCACTGATGGCAGCTCAAATGAGGTAAAAGATGAGTTTTACGGGAAGCTTTCTAACCTTCTTTAAAAAGCTAAGCACTCTAATGTAGTAATCGTTATTTTGATGCTAAAGTAGGTAGACTAAGAGATACCGAAGGATATCTGCTGCAGCTATACTCAGATGACCGCCTATTTCTGCTAAATACCAACTTTATACATAGCGAAAGATTATCTTTTGACATGGCGATCCCGAAAATCAACTCAACGCTTGACCCAACTGGATCATATTGCGATTAACAACCGACGGTGAGACTCCATAGAAGACTGTCATTCGTTCTGAAGTACAAGTTTGAACTCGGACCATGTTCTGGTACTAGGATTTATTAGTCTGCAACTTACTGAACGTAAAATCGAGGACAAGAATACAGCTTGGCAACAAAAAGCCAAGAGTACATTTCGATAACAACTACGAAAACACTTAAAGTCACGTGGGTGATACCTACCGTGAGTTAGCTTGGAATGTCATATAAGAAGCTGTGAAAATAGCAGTGATATCAATCAATTCAGACCGAAGGATAAGGAAAAGTCGGCGTATTTCATTGACATACAGATATTTCTAAAACTCTTTGGTACCAAGGGATACATCAAGCCTTAACTTCAGGAAATGACTTCAAGTAAATTATGATACTTATTTATTGAATTATCAATAAAACGTGATTTTAAAAAAAAGTTAGGCAAGCATCGAATAATAAGGGAATGAGTCTGGTGAAAGCATAGTCACATAAGTCTTGGATGAAAGTTAAAGTACATATTACGGAAGAGGGATTGGACGAATACTTACACGTTTCTACCGGTGATCCGTTCAAAATCAGTTAGCGTTTCCATATATGAAAATGACAGTATCAACAAATAAAGCACCCTGATTGGATAGTTGAAGTATCATTTCTTCCGAATCTAGACTGTGGTAATTGAAAATCATCAACTTTAATAATTCTTGTAAACAGTCATATCGTAGTTGATAAAATCAAAATATGCCTTTGAATTCAAAGTGATTTGATGGAATAACGCTGATCATTATAAATCTAGCAGTCTGACAAGAAACAAACAACAACTCTAACTAGAAGTGCTAGGTGTGAGATTGTATTAAGTTATTAAAACATTTAGGCACAAAGTACTTCCGGATGTAGTGGTATGCCCTTTCTTATTTTGTAAAACTCAGGAAAACCACTGTTGCACAGGACAATCTAAACTATTTTTATCCCACCTATGACGATTCCAAAATACTTACTCAAGTACATTACAAGTGCTGATATAACAATAAACAGTAGCTGAACCAACAGATAATTACTTTCCAAATGCGAATGGAGTTGCACGGAATCAGCGTGAAGAATAAATTTAGCATCTCAGGTTGAAGTAACTTATTAGGATGATAAATAAGCTCTAACACCCAGTGGTTTGTTGCAATCAAGGATTCTAAGACGAGTTAATACCTGGGATGTCTTTTTACAGCCCGTGCCACAGCTAAAGTCACTGAACGAGAGTGGAGGTAGTTTCTGCCTATGAGTGTGTAAACCTGAGGTGATAGATCACTGGTAATCTGAGTCACAGCACCAACCAACTTGTTGAACTGTTGTCACTCACGTGGTAAAGTGGTGTGATGTGATAATTTTTCTCAGTAAACTTTTGGCAATTTCTCAAGTCATTTGAATTCATGTGTAGAGAAAAGCTAAATCCAAGTTTAGAGCAATCTAACGGAAAACTACTGGTTTCAGTAGGTCTGAAAGTGACAAGACAAAAGAAATGATTCTCATTCGAGGTAAATCGTGTGAACTTGTACCATGTTATTTCAACAGACTTAAAAATATCAAAAAATAGTTGATTTCGCTGTGAGTATTTCAGTTATTCACCAAAATGCAAAAATGTTGGACAAACACCACAATAATCAAACTTTAATTTGTCATCCTAGATCTGTGAAATGATGTGCTAAAAGCATTTACCGGAAAAGCATTTTTGATGAAACAGATGTAACTGAGAAATAGAGAAATTTTCTTTAGACACCTATGTAAAAGTTAACTTGTATACTTCTACTAGCATATACTTGTTTCTTTGTGCGCACCTTTCATGATTATTTAGCCAAAGTATTCCATGGCTAGTTATTCAGTCGTTTACTTTGGACTTTTTTGCTTCTGAATAGTATGCATCCAGGTTTTCTCCTTTATGGAACAACTCGCTTCCAATGTAGGTATAAAACCATCCGTAACTGGACGCTACAAATAGGTGAATCCCGATGATAAGAACTAAATTAAACGCTAGGATATCAGTTCCTTCATCATAAAATCTGCTAATATTAATCAGACGTGTGCTTCTGTACTGAAACTCACTATATATCTAATTATGTTTTTGTTGTTTGTTTACATCAATTTACATACATCCTATGAACTTTATGTAACAGTCGTCTTTTCATATGTGTATGAAAACCCATTAAGTTTATAGATTCAAAAAATTTATATCCTATCAAAATTACGGCCACACATTTATTTGGCATCGCAAGTTTTATTGTTTATGATTTTTAATGAATACATTTCAAAACCTTTATTTCTTAATGACACAAGTCATTTGTCTTTTCTTCAACCGTACCGAAAGAACAAAAATCGAGCGCAAAGAAATCAGTTGGTTTATATCAGCTCATGAGAAAGATATTGGATATTAGATTGAAGCACTTATCATCGATACAAAACCATTTCAATGTTATTCCACAGTTTTCGTTCGAAGTCCATGAAAACAGTTTGTCAATGTGATTTTCTACCAATCTGACTGTTTTAAACTCGATATTTAAGTGGAGTTCAAGGTTTGATGTTTCTATCTCGGTGTATTCATTGGTTCCACAGATTCGGTGTTCCAGATCATTATATTTCTCAAACCGAAGTTGCGTTTTTGTATAATTTTGAACATGATACAGTAAATTACTTTCTCACTGCACAATATTCAATAACTAATTTTAGCGAAGCCATGGTATATTATGTCTATAGAAAATGCCTTACTCTTACCTTTAACCCAGTTGAATAGTGATAGTCATTACTAGGCTTTCAGAAACCATAAGCGAGTTTAGGTATTGTATTGTGCGATAGGGAGTCAGTTGTAGTCCACAAAATGTGGGTCATTCTCAGCCTTAAGTTTAACCTTTCTCGTATTTCCGAAAATGACGTGACGTAGTTAAAATAAGAACAGTGCATATCCAGTTCATATTTGTTTAATTTAGTCCACGTTTATTTATTCGTCTTCGAACAGTACTATTTTGTAGACTTAGTTGCAGTTTGGTCAAATGAACACGCAATACTGTTATTAGAAATTTTACACTTCCTTATAAAAGCATGGTTAGTCTACTTAGAAGTTATGAAAAATTTTCTTGGTATTTCTTCGATCTTATGGCCCACTGCTAATATGGTGGATCTGAATATAATTTACTATTTTCTATGCTACGTTTTTGGGTTATTTAATCTCAGCTGTTATTCTAATTTGGCTTGTAACAGTATGGATCATCAGTGCAGCCAAATATTTGCTATGAAATACATCTGCGGCCTACTAGACCCTAGATAATATCACAACCGTATAACCTAACCGTTGAACACTCACTATAACGGAAGTAAGAAAAGAGGTTCAAATACTTATATTTATTACGATTGTTAGTTTATCTCTAGAACTGCAAATTTGCTGTTTTTTGTAGTTTAATGCACTAAGGATGAATGTTGAAGAGGGAGTAATTTTTACCCAGAATATTCCATTCATAAACCTACATAGTAGGTACATAGACAAAAATTAACTTTTTAATCACCACATTATAAACTTCAGGATCCTTTTAGTTTGATTTAACATCTTATTTTATTTTTTGTGCTTTATTTTAATCGATTTATTTTAGAAAGAGAAAAATTTTTAACTTATTCGAGTAGTTTCTTTGTAGTACCATCACAGTCCATATCTACTTTAACATTTCTAGATGTAGTACCAAGAGAAGCAATTTAAACGATTCCGTGAAGTATAACAAATTCACTTGGGTTTACAACGATAATTTTAAGACGCTTTCTAATCGTGAGATCTTATGACGCCTACTACTGAACTTTTTGCAAAGCATCTTGCTTGAACTGAAACCATTATTTAGTTTTAGTTCCCAATTTTTGAGTTTGTCCGACATAAAACGACAGTAAATTTTTATCGTTTGAACAAACATTAGTAGAACTCTATGTGATTAACCTATACATCTCAAGATATGTTTGAAACGATGCTTTGAGTAGTCATTGAGAAGCTAGTTTGATCTACATAAATACGCTCACAAATTTGAAATAAGGTCACTGAAAGTAAACAAAATAATTATAAAATATATTCGTATCTCATCATTTTGGTAGTAATCGAATCGGAGATGTGATAAACGTATATTATTAACTCCATATAAACATGTATCTAAGACATTTCCATGGACTCTACATATATCACAACTAAGCAAGCCAAAGCAACCAATTAAATGAATGTCTTTTGCGTTTCATCACATTGAGTACAAGAGTGAATTTAATGAGCAATAATGTTCCTTAAAATTGAAATTTCAGTAGTTGGACGTAAGGAAACTCAGAAGAAAATAATGATTTATCCAAATATTCTTTATTGTTTGTATCTCAGTGTTTATTGAAAACACGGTATAGATAAATAGAAGACTAGAATTAGGATCAATATTTATTTCGAACTTTTTGTCTTGCTGTGAAGAAAAGCATCAATTGTTATATTATTTGGACTTTAAAACACTTTATCCTGAAATGTTCTCCCATGTTCATATTAAATTACAGTTTCGTGAAATAATGTACCATTTGGCAGTATATGTCTTAGTCTCGATCCTTTCTCAATGAGAGCTCAACAGGTTGAGACTCAGTCAACAGCGTGGATTCGGCCAAATTTTAGCGGACATTCAGTAATAATGGATCAGATTACTACACAACTTGTTCCTTCACATTTAGGGAACTCAGGTCACTCGCAGCAAATGATATTACAGCAACAACAACAACAGAGGGGTTCCAATTTTCATAATCCTCCAAATATTATACAAGCCGGACCAGTCAAACCGGGATTGCAAAATCTCAATCTCAGTTCAACCAACCCAGCTTCTTCAGGATTTAGGCGACTATTATCTGAGATGCGTAAGTCACAATAGTTTTAACTTATAAAAGTAGCTGCTTAATGTGTGATCATAATATACAAGAAGATTTAGGTTTAAATGCCTTTTGCGGAGAATCAGGAGAGTCAGGTGATGTTACGAATGCTGACTGAAATTGTAGAATAAACCATAACCTTTAAAAATGTTTAAACCTATAAAAAGAAACCGATTCCTAAAAGCTCTAGTTATTTACTATTTCACCACAAAGAAGCATATTCAAGTAACTCCTGAAAAAACCAGATACTTTTGAAGAGATAGGTAGAAGACAACTATTTGAGAGTATTTGATGTTCTGTCAAATATTAGAACAGGAAATGAGATGGAAAGATGGAGATCTGAACGGAAAACCTTGGCATGTAAACATCGATATTATCAAACACATTAAAACAAATGTGCTTTTGAATACGGTGGCTTCTTTAGATTAGTCATGAAATTTATATTTTCGTGATATATGCTGATGTGTGTCAAATACATCTAAAGCCGAGTTTGATTATCAGCTGACGTAAACTTCCAGCTTTTATTTTTGTAGATGAAATTATCTTTTAATTGGAAGAAAACAAAGTTTAGTTACAGTTTGGACATAATAATAATTATTTAGAAGAAATTTCCAGTTTAGCTAAGTCACTATCATTATTTGCAATTAGCGTTTCAAAGCACATAATATTGAAGATCAAAATAAATAGATGATGATCACATTTCCAAACGTTAGTATTTGTCGAGGCTTGATATGAGATCTAGAACTATTATAGCCATGTTGACACTGGTGAAGTTATGTTTCATCAAGATAAAATATTAACTATGAAAGAACAAACATCGAATAACATAACACAGTTGTTATTCTAATCCAAAGTTACGTACCTTGTATTACCTCATACGCAAGCCTGAGTTACCGATTAACAAGAGCAAATTCATTTATATATCGTTTACGGGTATTTTTTTCTAAAGTCAAGTTTCAGATCAGTGTGGAAAAATTGATCATTACTACGTGTCTCCTCTAAATTTTCTTTCGAACTAGGAGGTTATCTTCCTTTTGAATTTACTGGAAAATTTTTTTTAAGTAGTATAACTTACATTGAGTATCTCCGAATGATTTTCTTTAGGTTGGATTGTAAAACGCAGCTTAGTAGTTATTGGGACAAATTCATATGTTTGGCGTTTGTTTCTACTAAAATCCAGATACTGCCATACACTAAGTCCAAGTCTTTTTTACACATGATCTACTCATCAGTACATATCTTCGATATCCTGATTAGAATAAGATGATTACTGAATTTGCAAACCTTACTCACTAAAGTTTTAATATTTCATGTGGAGAATCGATCTAAATAAAATGTTATATTCTATGAAGTACTAAGTTTTGTTCGAATAAACAGTTTAATCAGTAGATAAATTTTGTAGAGAATCTGGAGTCATTGCTCAGAATATTTCCATACTCTTTGCTGATTTTCTAGTTTCTAGTTATCTGATATGTCTTTCAACCACCTAGATTGATTTTGTCTGTCATTCAGCCGACGTATATACTTGCACGTGCCATTGAATATGGTTGTGTGCACAATGCAGTAGGTGTGTTAGACGTAAAAACTTTATATGATATACAGAATTACTTCTGCATGTGTTTAACTGCTCATTATAACCGAACAACATTAATATTTTGATATTTACACGTTCTTCTTTCGAATCTCACCGATAGAAACACTATATAGTGTGGTGACCTAAATTAAGGTTACATAAGCAAACAGAGAAACAATTAGTTTTACTCTTATAAGTTATGGTGTCTCTGAACGATAAAGAGTTAGCCATTGTTTTTACCACAAATATGAGAGACAAAGTGGAGGATTCAATTTTGAAAATGTCATTCCCCTACTGTTTCGTGAAAATTCTCTTGTCAGTGATACAAAAATAATGCAAGTGACTGTTACGCTTTTTGATATTCATTGATTCTCAAACTCATGTCAGTTTTTTGATAAAAGTCACCTTCATAGATAAACATTCATGGTGAGGTATTCTGCAATACGCGCCATTCAGAGATGGAAATCTTTTTTAGTAAGCATTCAATAGTTGTGCAATCGAAGTTATTTTAGATATTTCATATTCAAAGCGAAGGTCAGATAGTAATTTTAAAGAGAGTTAGGCAATCAATCATAAACTTCAAAGAAATACTCTGCTATATAAAATTTAAAAATTTTTTGAGACATTGTTTCATTTTGCTGTATGCAATAGGTGTTTTACACAAATAGCAATTCAATAGATCTATGGCAAATTGTATTCAGCAAACTTAAAATTTTAGGTTAACGTAATGTATTTTACCAAATGAAAGCCAAAAAATATATGAAGTACTCCAATGGCCACCAGTAATATCTTAACATTAAATTATTTTGTGTAAACACTGAATGGGCAAAACAAGTAAACTATTTATTTATGTCAAGTGCTCTAATTTTTGCTTTGGTGTCGCGTACGAAAACTATTATCTTGTAATTATTGATTCTGTTTTTAATATAATGTTGTTAGTGTTTATGAATCTGAATGCCTTCTATGTAAATGAATAAGTTTTAAGCCGCATTAGTTTTACTGTTAATAAATGTGTAAGAATTTACAAACGTCTACTTGTCAGTAAAAGAAATACTCAACAGACAGTACCATGAACTACCACTGATATGTTATAGGTTTAAAATAAGCTTATAGCTTATAGTTCTTAGATAAAAGAAGGTGACCAGCAAAAACTAAACAAGAACTTGCATAAATCACTGAGATTTCATCTAAGGCAATTAATTTCCAGGTAGATTTAAGTCGACTAATAATATAAAGACATATATTTGATAATCATACTGTGTTGTTTGTTCTGTACTACCAGTACTATTTATTTAATCGGCAGTGATGAAAGTGGATTTCAGCTTTTCCGATGTTAAAACTACTTCTTAATTTCTTAATACATACAAGACAGTTTTTTTTTGTTTCTGAAAAGAGTTCTGGTGTGAATGCGGTTACAACCCAAAACATCTACATTAAATCATCAGCAGTGTAAAATATTGGAAACGTTTATTGAAAACAATACCAACTGTTTGACTATTTGCTTTCCTACTTCTTCTACAACGATTTTGTACAGTAAATGTCGAATTAGGTAGTGAATGAATTTCTAAACTATACACGGTAGTTTGTATTTGATCTTAAATGGAAACTTTTGACAGAGTTCTTAGTTTCGAAAAGTGAATCTGTCATAAATTAATAATAATATGACTTCTATAGATACTGACTGTTGTCAAACAAATGACACTAGTGCTTATTCAACGTCATTTACTTAGACCTATAAGTGAGTGTCATTCAGCATAACATAAAAACTGACCAAATGAAATCGATCATAGTTTGTGGACTTCTGTCCATGTTGCGTTTGTTTTCAAATGATTAGTCCAAGTTATCTGCTAACCAAATAATTGCCTAATCTTTCTTAATGTATAAATTTCATTTTAAATTTTAGATACCAAGCAGTTTGATTCCATCCGCTTTGCAGCTTATCGTACTGCGAGCAAGCTTAGATTTATTCAACAGAGAACATTATGTAAGTTTCATATGAAATGTCAGTCTGTTTTTCTGAACTGAAATACTGACTATTCTTGTTTCATCTAATTTACATTCAGAACTATAAAGCAAATGGCATTTCAAGATAAATTAGAAAAACGATTTTCTAACTTATAACGAAGAAGCTGTGAAACTTTGACTACGTTTTTAAATCACATAGTAAATAACGTTAAAAGGGGACCTTGATTAATGCTAAAATTACTGTCTTAGTCATGCTATCAAAAAGACAATCATCTTGCTTTGATTATATACAACTAAGTTGCATGTGGCGATACTGTGTTTCGTTACAGTGATGACAAAAAAGTCGTGAACAGTGCTTTCCCGCATGTGGTTTACCCGATTAACACAAGAATTTTTAACTAATTTGGTATTTCCAAACAAAGAACGAATATATATGGATTTGATTACGTTAGAAACCTCAAAAGAACACTAGCATTCACAATCGAATGAAGTAGTCTTTGATATTTTTTGGTAAAATTTGGCTTAGTTTTGGACAGTGGAAATAAACGCGTTTTCAATGATTTATGAAAGTAGTTGCTCACCATATTTACTTGAAGAATATTTGCTGAATTTAGAATTGATATTTTGATTTTAAAGCTGTTTCTACGAAAATACATATACACTTTTCAATGATTTTCACTAACCACAAATGATAACAGCGGCATCAGTTTGTATATCAAACAAACTAGTGATGGTAAAACAGTCTAAACTTTCAGATCAGCCAGAAACTGGAGTTACGAATGCTAACTAATACAAATTTATGGCCACGTTATACAGAAAGCAATTCAGCTTCGTTTTTTCCTTAATTAGGTTTTTGGAAGCAATTTTAAACTGCACAAAAATTAAACTAGACGTACTGTATTATATTGCTGTAAACGAAACAGACTTATACTAAGCCATGATTTGAAGGTACTTTATTTGTTAAGCCTATTTTTATATTCGCCCATCTTTGCTCTAGACAAGTATTATTGAATTTTCAAATACTCATCACTTTCTACTGTAGCCAGAATTATGAAATTCTTGGATAAATTATGTATATATATATATATTCTGTTTAGCTGGTAAACGTTTTTGTTATTCTGAAAGCAAGAATTCTGAAAATAAGAATAGTGATAACAGTGGTATTTAGCACCAGCGCTTTTTTATACTAGGAATTTGTCAGCTAAATTTACCTTCAATCTAATGTTGTTGTTCATCAGTCAGAACTATGTGGTATGATTTTGATCACTTTGATTTGAACGATCAGTTTATTCCAATAGTGCATATTATTTACCAGCCAATGTCAGTATGCGTTGAAAAGTGTCCTCCAATAATCGTTTACGTAGTAGTGATGAATCAGATCATTTAGTAATAAAAATTCAAATAGTCCTCACATATTTTGTGACCATTACTGATCACTTATTTCGAATGCCAACATAAGATCCTGGGACTTTGTACTGACTAATTACTGCACGAATCAGGGCTTTTATTGATTACTAAACAGACCTAGAGTCTGTTGAAGATTCAAACTGATCGTTCAAATCAAAGTGATCAAAATCATACCACATAGTTCTGACTGATGAACAACAACATTAGATTGAAGGTACATTTAGCTGACAAATTCCTAGTGTAAAAAAGCGCTGGTGCTAAATACCACTGTTATCAATATTCTTATTTTCAGAATTCTTGCTTTCAGAATAACAAAAACGTTTACCAGCTAAACAGAATAAACGTATCACTTTTCACACATTAGGTTAAAAACTATTGTATAGAAGCCATAAGAAAGTGATAATTCAATGATACCCATCAAGTTGAAATAGTAAATCTTTTGGGTTACTAGGGTCTTCCTAAAAATTCGGAATCATTTTAACCAGATAGTCAGTTTCAGACAATACATTACGTGTTGCCTTAACCCTAAAAAATGGACACAGAATCGTTTGAAGTGTTTTAGATCTCAAATTTTACCAAGTGATTCATTTTCACTGTTATTAATTAAACACCGAAAAGTGTGAAAGTGAGACCAGCTACTTCAAAGTAGACGTTAGTTTGCTCATTACCCTCAATCTTATCTTGATTTATGTTTGTAATAACATATATCACAGTAAACAATGTCTTATAACCGAGATTTCATTGAATAGAATTCTTCGATTACGTTTATACAGTTAGTCGTTTAGTTCGATGTAGCTAAAATTCCCAGAATTTATAGAACGTTTACTTAGTTATCGATTTGAAAATAACTAACTTTTAGATCTATAACCCCTAACTCACCTTAGTAGGGAAAATTTCTTCCTATTAGGATGTTTCCTCCAATCTAGGAAAGCAAATCAAACAGTTTTTCTCTTTTGGCAGGCATAGATAAAAGTCTGAGCTGTAGTGGTAGAAAAGAAACAAATAGACATCATGATAAAACACACACCTATGTAAGGATCGGTGGCGTACGAGAGAGAAAGATGGAGTTGTGTTTGCTGCATTATAATGGTTAATATATGGATTATGTGTTTATTATAACTGTCAGTCCATCACTCGCAATATTTGTCTTCCTGATTGGAATTTCACATGCTCAACGACCAGTGGGTCACATGTAAATAAAAATGTCTTAAATTTGGTTGCATTAGTAGAAATTATCAATAAAGCTATGTCTGTCCACTAATATTTATCCTCAAAAGTGTGTTTCCAAAGTGTTCGGAAATCATATTCGGGTTGCAAATTGTTAACAGCTGGAGTGATATAAAAAAAATCAGACGAATGTTACTGGAAATAATAACAGTGGTGAATCTGTCAAATTGAAGACAGTTTTCTGTCTCAAATTCATCTGCTTAGTATAAATTACCATATATTTCTCATGGTTGATTGACATCAGTATGTTCAGTATGAATTCCTACTAAAGGAATCGAAAACAGTATTTGCTGGCTGCTGCTCATAGATATTGACTAAGTGAATTTTTCATGACAAAAAGTATAAAAATTGGAAGTGTTCAATTTAATTAGCATGTACTCCAAATGAGTGTTTTTAGTGCTGCATCGTAAGTTCGTAAGTTTCAAGTCGGCTAATTCTTTGAAACAGACAAGTGTTGACACTGATTTGAACTTATTTATGTAAAGTAATATATATATATGAATTACAATTAAGCTAACTGTACCTCTCTGAATCAAATTAATATCACTGAATGTTCTAGGGCAGTTAGCGATTTCAACATCAGTTAAACAAAAAGCATTTGTTCATAATCAATGTTTCAATAACTCATTTGATAAATCAACGTGTTTGTAACTTGGATAACCAGAATAGTTTGACTTACACAGAAAAGTAAATGAATATAAAGTTACTCATACAGTTCGGAATAAAGATGAAACACGTAGATATGTTTATCCTACAAACCAGATGCGGACTTACACTCCAAGGTCAAATTATAAACAGGTGGATATGAGATTATGAATGAAACATTTACAAACTATATCTTCCTTAGTGTCAAAAGAATATTAGTTTTGTGATTTTTTTTTATCAGAAAACGTATTTATAACATAAGGTTCATCGTCATCTAAGGCGTGTCTTGAAGCCGGAACAAAATTACAAAAAACAATACTCCATATGTTTCTCTTTCTTTGTTCTTACGCTGTTTCTTAATTAGCGTATATACAAATCTCACAACTGGCCACAATAATGTTGTATGATATTTTGTTCTGTTTTGTATCAGGTTATTCGTCTACTTAGTAGTCATTTCTGTCTGATTATGAGCAAAATGTTGTAACTACGCAACTGCGATATTCCGAACCAGCTAAGTGCGTGAGTCATTATCTGTTACATTATGTTTGAAACTACTGGTAAGCATTATAAACTATTAAAGTAGATTCAAAGGAACGCAAACTGCCTACATCTGCATCAACAAAGCGCTCATGAGCACCATGAACAATGTGAAAACCAATAAAGGAGATGATGTGGCTTTAGATCACTATCTAGTGATGTCCAAGTTGAAACTGAGACGAAGAAAAAATTTTGAAACTGGAGAGACAACATTACAATGGTTTAAAACAGATTATCAGCGAAATATTGATAAACTCAACGAATACAAAGTAGCTCAAGGAAATAAACTAAGGGCATTTCGCAAAGCAGTAAATAAAAATACCACGCAGAATAACTTGAAAGGGGTAGGAAAAGCAACAACTTCAGCATGTCATGAAGTTCTTTGCCAAATGAAGCCCCATTGAAACGAATGGATGTTGGTTAAAAATCTGGGTAAAGTTCAAAAAAGAGGAAAAGGAAAGATGAAATCAATAACTGACAAGCCAGAACAGAGGAAACCAAGGCGCAAGCTGAATACACAACAACAAACAAGAAAGTGGAGAGGAGCATCACAGATTACAAATGTAAATATGTGAAAGAACTAGCAGTGACGGCTCAAAAGGCTGCAAGAGACGGAAATTTGAGACAGTTGTATGATACAACAAAGAAGCTCTCTGGAAATAATCGTAAACCAGAACGATCAGTGAGGAATAAGGAAGGTAAAATAATCACCAACATTATAAAACTGCGAAACAGGTGTGTAGAACAGTTTGAAGAACTCTTGAACTGATCAGCTCCACTGAACCACCCAACATCGAAGCAGCATCTACGGACCTCTCAATCGATATTGGCCCACTAACAGTTAAAGCGATAAATGTGGCTATCAGACAAATCAGGAGCGACAAAGTAGCGAGACCAGACGACATTCTATCAGAGGCAATGAAAGCAGATGTGGAAGTAACTGCAAAAATATTTCACACTCTCTTCAACAAGATTGGGGATGAGGAACAAGAACCATCAGACTGAAAAGAAGGATACCTAATCAAAACATCAAAGATAAGTGATCTCAGCAGGTGTGAGCATTCCATCATCATCAGCGCTGTAGGTGGATCGGATACAAATTGTGGAAATCACCGGACTGCATCGTGAGGTAAGCCCTCATTCGGAATCCTTAGGTCAAAAGGCGGAGGCAAAGACCATGGAACACAGTGCCTTTAGAATTAGAAGGAGACATGAATAGAATGAGCAGCAGCTGGGAAGAACTGGAAATGAATGATCTTGAAAAATCTGCTTTATATAAAGTATTTTCTTCTTCAGTTGTCCAACATGTGTTCAATGTTTTTCACCGATCCCATGCACATCCAGGTTGTCTCTTTTTATTTCTGCAGCAACCTGGATCACTCTCCTAGCTTCCCATATTGTACAAACATTCCATATACCTAAATAATTGGTTGCTTTATTTGTAAGAATGGGCATCAGCCTCGTGACTTGCCAAGGAACTCGGCTTTCATCATCAGAAGTCATAACTCTTCTAAATGAGGACCTTCTAACTCTCAGGGTAGGGTTTAAATTATTTGAATTATTTTTTCTGGTTAGCGTATTTTAAGGAGTTAGTTCTCTACTGGATAGAGTCGATGATCCGAGGCCCAACTGTCCCCTCTTATCGGGCCTTGGGAGCGGCTGCAGGCTGCGTTTAGATAAGTACTCATATTAAAATATTTTTGAATCTATGGCGAGCTCCTTCTTCCAATTGATTTCTACATGTTCATCTATAAACAGGATAAATACGAAACGTTTTAATTGCATTATTCTCATTTCACTTATTTTCTCAGATAAAATTATTCACTCATATATATATTTTGTATCGTTTATATTGATATGTACGATTTGTCCTAATGTATCTATATTTTTTATACATTGAGTGGTTTGATTTAAAAACTAACGACGCACTCAACTAAATGATAATAGCTTACAGAAATAACTGACATCAACTCCTTCATGTAGTTTTCCAGTTGTCTAGCTACTATACACGTCCGTATGTATTCTAATATTCCAGTCACATTTGGTTTATGGCTTTTAACGTTACATTTACCTAAAAAGAGTTAGCCAAAATATTCTTCTCAAAATCAGGTAAATAATCCAACAATCCTTCTAGGGGTAGTGAGCGCTGATAAAAGAACAATAATAAGCCTATTTTCTCCACCAAGCAAACAAAATGCAACCCATGGATTCGTTGAAAGACCTCAACACGGCATAATACAGTTGATTATAATTTCAATGAAGGAACGAGCTTTAGAAAAGGTTCGTGAATAAATATCTTGTGGAATAAGTCCATCTGAGGTTATTCTAGTAAAGTCTTTCACAAGAATATCATTCTTTCACAAATAGATTGATGGTTTCTTATTTCATATAGTAAAATATATTCACGTTTGTTGTTACACTTTTTGTGACACTGGTATATGTAACGTATTAGTCACAGGAAACATATGATTCATTCGGTTGCATCGACGAGAAAAGAGTATCATTGATAACCTTTCCTGGTATCATGAACTAAAAGCAGTCTAGGAAAAAAATTAAAAATTATTTTGAGTTATATCTCAGTTTATTACTGTTTCGAAGTAAATTCTGAGCTTTACTTTTCAAGCTATGCTTTCACTAATCCCAACCCTATTTTTTTTGTTTATAAAGTGTACATCATTATGCTTGATGTTAATAACTGAAGTGTTTAGTGGAGTCCATTAAATTCTGCCAAGAATTAGACAATAAAATGACAACTCTATTATATAAACAGCGGATAAGTGGTATTATCTTAGTGTGATAGTGCTAGTGAAGAACCCCGGCTTTCATTATGAGTTACTGAATATAGTTAAACTCTTCTTCCTTCCCGATATTCAAGATAATTATGGACACTTACAACTAAAAATGACTAGTATCTTTCCATTAGATAAAATGGCTTTCGACGCAGTTGAATCAAGTAAAAACAGTAAAATATCTTATTTTCATGGTAATTCATTTAGCTTAACATCAATTTCATTCAATGTACCACGTTATCCTAATTGTAAGCAAAATATGCTGTCAAATCTCAATATTAAATAATACATCTCCCTGCCCTAAAACTGAAACTTAATATACTCACTAACATAAAATCGAATACCTTCTTTTATTTTGTTAAGAATAGAATAGTGAATTACATCCAAAGTTTTTACATTTATAGATGAAGACATCTCACTAGCTAGCTCTTCAACAAACAAAATAATTAAATATTCGATCTTTTTTATTAATTTTTCCGCTAATATCAATGATGAGTTCATAGACTTAAGGAAAAATCGAAATTAAGTAGAAGATTTGATTCGATGATTAGAGCTTAGTCTCCTCGACATAGATTCTAGCAGTTCTGAAGAAAATTTGACCTTAAACCTGTCGCTGTGTGTACTTTTGTTTTGATTGTATCCCACTTTTGATCTACTTCTTGATCCTATGCCCTAATCATAGGTGACATATGATCAAGAAACAGATAAAAAGGGGGATACAATCAAAACAAAGGTGCTTACGACGACAGGTTTAAGGTCAATAGCAACCAATCAAGATTGAGGATAACAGAACAAATTATGGGTCAAACGTGGAGAAATTCGAATACTTCAATTATATTTGAAGTTTGTACCGATTATGTTGTTCAGAAGAACAATAAAAGCTCCACAACCAAAACATCCAGTTCAGAGAACAAAACACCATTACAATTGATGTATATACACCTCAAGTGAATGACTATGATATATTCTTGCAGTGAAAAAAGTGCTGTTGAAGTAATTATGTAGTTTTACAAAACTAAAATGTAATATATCTTAATTCCGAGTCATAAAGGTACAGAAACTAGTCATTTTATATTTTGTTTCCGTATTATTTTATATAATTCAGTTAACATAATGGATTTATGGCGTGTGGTCGAAACATTCAGAGAATTCGGTTTACATCAACTGAATGATCCTCAAGCAAGCTTAGACTATGCCAGTACATTCCGTTTACTATCACGTATTTACTCACATATACCTACAACAAATATAAATGTGAACACAACAACCAATGAAACCTCATCAAGCAATACAACCAATCGGTCTGTAATTATTATTGCAGCTGAAATCCTACTTGGTTGGCTCGGATATGCTTTAGACTTATGTTCAACTGGTCGACTCAGTGTAAATGGACTAAAAATAACCTTGTCAACGTTAACTAATGCCAGACCAGCTGATAAATTTCGATGTGAGTGGGTGCATTTTTTGAAAATATTAGTGTTTCATGACAAACTTATTTTACTGATTATTTATATAAAACGCTCAATCTCTTTGATTTCGATAGTAATAAAAAGAGTAATATAATCTGAAAAATATGATGTTTTTGTTCTATATGTTCTTAACTGTCTGGCATTTGTGTATATGAAGGTTAGTAAAGGACAAATCAATTAAAGCTCGATAGATATGAAACAATAGTTGGAACTGAAAGATAGAGAAAATAATATAATAGGAAAACAATGAAAAGTCCACAAGGACTTCGTATTGACTAAAGATGACCAAGTCAGATTCCCTATTAAAACTAATTGGTTTTATACAAATTAGGTGATCTTAAGTTCCCTAATGGCCAAAACAGTTTCATTGACGTTACTTTGTTTTGAGTTCTAAACTTAATTTGTTTTCAAGTGTCTTAGTTCCGTTTAGAAAGGAAGTATAGGTTATGGTCTAGAATAATATATTCGATCACCTACTTTGATGACTAAGTACTCTTTATCATATACAACCCAAATATCCTACACTCCATAAGTTTCATGTACTAAAAACAAATTATATAAAATGTGGCTATTCGTAGACATATTTATTAATTTCTAAGCTACTAATGCTCGCAGCAAGTTTTCACCAGGGCTAATTAAATTACTTCAGAAATAAACACCTATTCATTCATTTGTCACCTAAAACTGACTGAACTATGTCTGAAAAGATAATGGTTATGAACAGTTAGCCAACTAATATCACAAATTAGTGAAGACTGAAATAAATGAAATTTAATGTCTTCAACTTCAGCTGCATATGATGAATTTTGGAAAAAATTAACTTAACAATAAATATATGTCATTAATAAATCTAACCAAAAGTATGAATACGCATGTTTTCATGTATTGTTGATAAATTTGTGATCAGACTCGAAATTCCCAACGAATCCATTTTCGGAAGAAAAAACTTTAACATTTCCAAAACATTATAACCCATAAATTAGAATGGATAAGTCTCCTTTAGATGATTTTTGTTTTATGATGATTTTCGAGTTAGTATCGGAAATGAACAGTCTCTTATTTTATGCATTAGCATCTGTGATGCTCCTCTCCACTTTCTTGCTTGTTGTTGTGTATTCAGCTTGCGCCTTGATTTTCTGTTTTTTAATTTGACTGCTCTTGATTTCTTTCCCCTTGTCCGTTTCCTGAATTTCGCCGAAACTATTTATAATGACCCATTGTTTACACTTGAACCGTTTGAGATCAAGGACCTTGTGTTATTTTGAAGTTGTTCCTTTTCTTACCCCTTACAATTAGTTAGTTTTCTCTTCTTCTAGTAGTTCCTAAACAAACTTCTTATTTTATTATTTGTTAAATAATATTTATCTGTTAGTTGTCTAATTTCACAGTTATTCAGCTGCAGTCCACGTCAAGTTTGAAATATTCTGTATATAAATATCATCAAGGTTTCAAAGTGAACTGACAAATAGACAGTACTTATTGTAGCACAAAATCAGAGAATTTTTTCTTGTGTTGTTCATCACTGCATTTGATATTGTCAATCAGCCATCATCATTCTATAAATTTTTTAGCTTTTAAAGCTTCACTTCATAGTCATTTAGGGAATGAATGAAGGTAGTTTGATAAAATATTACCGTACTACGTTATGACCTCATACCTATCATATGATGAGTAAACTGGAAATTTCCGACGATATTCAATGATTAGAAGCATAATTTCTCTTTTTACGAATATTTCTTCCGTAAAACCTACAATTTCTGCATTTACTAATCCATACATCCAAGTATTTTCACCATTTATTAAAAATGTCACTATTTAACATTAAACTTTAAATTCATCACATTTTTTTTAGATCACTTCACTCTCTTATCAGATCCCTCTGGCGCACTAATTTTCTCGAAATTTGAGGCTTATTTACAAGATCTACTCAAATTGCCAATAAGTGTATTCGAGGGCACAAATTTCTACTACACACCACAAGCTGCGCAAGCAATGTTCGTTGGGGTATGTTTCGGTCAAATTTGTGAAGTTTTTTAAAATTGAAATGTTCACATTATGCTAGTTTAGGTTTAGTGGATTCATCGATCTATGGGATATTTGAACAACTGTAAGACTAGCTTTCAAAATTATATTTATCTTCATGTTTAATAAATGTCAGAAGAATTCATATTAGCAAACAGCATCGTTTTTAATAAGATCGTAACCAGGCTTAACTCTAATATACATGAAAATATTATATAAATCAAGGCAATTTCTAAGTCAATGATGACAATTATTTCGATTACGCGACTACACATAATGGGTAAAATACAAGTTAACAGTAAAAAGACTGGTATACTAGTTGTCCGACTTTAATGCCTCACCTGGTGTGTTGTCTTGTCCTACTTACTCAGTGACCGAGGTTGGTTACCCAAGAGATTTCTTATAAAAGTACCTGTATACGAAAATAAAAAACAAGTTGGAGGTTTTGACAGTTCACAAGAAACCTTTATTATGAAAACTACAATCGTACGGGGATGTGGCTACGCAGAGATTCTCGCATTGACATTTCCTAGCCGATCACTGATGTCACCTTAAACATAGGATAAGTTATCTCATGCATTTATAGATTAAGCTGCTCCTGTGGAGATAGCTATATTGGGCGTACTATTAGGCAACTTAACCACCGAATAAGTGAATATCATCCAGCATGGTTTGGAAAGAGCCAAATGAAGACAATACACAGCTTTATCTTGCACACCTGATTGATAGTAGTCATATTGTAGATGAAAACGAATTATTTCGAGTCATCTACAAAATACCTCCGTCGTTTTCCGAACAGGTTCATTCCCGTCTCCTGCATACATCAGAAGCTATAACAATCCGGACCTAGCTCGGCACATATATCTGTTATCTTACTTACTTATTCTCTATACAGAGCAGCTTACTCATAAGCCAATATTTGCATCAAAAATCAAATAGAGTGACCAAACGTATAACGCAGTACAAAAAAATTGACTAACTGATTAGAACTGTAATTTTATTCGTATATTTTTAGAAATGAACCAACCAATTATTACTTTGTATCAGGCATCAATACCAAAATGAGTAAATACACGAAGTGTTTAATTAACAGTATCCTTTGGATACCACTTCTCATTCTCAAGTTAATTTATATAAGGTTAAGCAATCCAAATATAATCTGTGCTCTATAATTTCAATAAACTCGTATCAAACTAAGGTAGACAGTTTTGTTCAAGTAGCTTGTAGAAAATTGTTCATGAATTTGAAAAAATGCCAGTTTTCGAAAACAACATTGAATCTTATCCAGAATGTCAACTAATATCCATTCCTTGTAATGGTGCTTCTTGTCGCCTAGAACTTCATGACACGTTGAAGTTGTTGGTTTATCCTACCCCCTTCAAGTTGTTCTGTGTGGTAGTTCTTTTTTCATTTCTCGTAGTGATGGTTCTTATTGACTGTCATTTTTCTACAAACCACTGCTGCTTTTCATGGAATAGATCGTCATCACTTCATTGTTATCATTGGTGGGTGTGTGGCAATGAATAAGATTCATCCTAATCTCTTCTTTCTTTGTCGTGATCAGTGCTTTGATGATGCTGATTTCATGAGATTCTCATCTCATAAGTAATTCCCGTGCCTCTTTGAACGACATTAGTGCAAATCTTTCTGTGTATGAGTCACTTTTTTCTTCATGGACGGAGTACTACAGCATTTCTCCTGAAGCCAATCTCTTACGTCCAGACTCCGTCCAATGTGTTTCATTGATTTGGTAAATTTTAATAGTTGTTCCGGTATCATACATTTTGCGGACATTGTATGTACTCGTATCAATTATTACTGTGGATATCAGAAGAGTTATTGGCCTCGTAACTTCTGATGAAACTCGGCTTTCATCTCAAGACATCATAATTCTTCTAAATGAAGACCATCCAACATACAGGCCAACGTTTAAATGGTTTGAATTATTTGTTCTGGTTAGCGTTTATCGGCAAGTTGGTCTTACAGTGGATGAGTTTACCATCTGCATGCTTAATCCCTCCTTTATCAGGGCTTGCGCCTAGCAGTAACTGTGCGAAGGATTCCTGGAGGAAGAATCTTACGAACATATATTGTTTTTTAATATTTTTTGGACTGATACTAAGTACTGTGAAAGAAATATTTACTGAAATAGCTAAACTAAAAATAAGTCAGATTTATTCCTTCACTCTTATATAACAATCTTCTGCACAAAGTACTGAAGAGTTAATTGAAATTCGTTCTCAGGTAATTGAGATTTTCAGTCTTTAGTTTAACAAACGAAATCATAACGTGAAACCCTACATTCCTCTTGAATTCGTAATACTTGTCAGGGGTGTTAATTAAAACACTACCTTCACTTATGTAAAAGCAAAATTTTATTTGGATTTAAACAGGACTGCCTCTTATGAAGTAGTGACTTATCGATGATTTATACCTCCATATTGTCTTTAAGACTAGAGCTTTACACTCAACGTTCCAAATAAACTCAGAAGTAAAATGAAAAAACCACCTAAAGTAGTCAGCCTTCCTTGAATTTTCCATAAACTACTAGTTAATTACAATCATTTATGAACTAAAAATGCTGCTTTTTAAGTGTGAACTTTCTACACTAATCAAAAATAAACTGATAAAGTGTGATTTTATGTCTCATGCAGGTGTGACCACTACTTTCTCAAAATCTCTAGAGTTCTTTCATTTCCAAAGAATTTTGTTATCATACCGGCTCACTAAGTTATATGATTTTTAAGTCAGGAAAATATTTTTTAGTTAGGAATCTCACGGTTTTGAAATTCGAAATAAATTTTGATGAGATAATTATATTTTCCGTAGTTTTGCTGATGTTGTTGTGTAGTTTTTGGCTTCTTTTTTCATAAAAGCGCTCCAAAAACGTGGTTCTTGAAGAATTTTTGGATCGTATGCTATCTGATCAAGGATCACAAGTACTAGTATGGCTTACAATTTTTCATCGACTAATCAGTGTAGCGAATAGTAAGTAGTGTTATATTGAATAATTTTCGAAAATTAACGAAATAAACCGTTTCGTCTTCTTACAAGCGGATAAACAAAGAAAAAAATTTTCTTTTCGACAGAATCCTTTACTCAAGCCGTCCAACTGTAATCATAGAAAAAATACTACGACCTCATAAAGTGTTTGAAAGTTAATTAAGATTTTTTCAGTTAGAGGTTTCGGGATTTGTGTTTTTTACACATTTGAAATCATCAATCAATCATTATTAGACCACCATTAGAAACCTGGAAGCATTGGACGGCCGTCAAGTCCTGGTATGGGACTCATCAGCAGTTAATTAATTGCTCCAAATGATCTGGGTCCAACTTAGGGATTGAGAAAATTAATTGTGCTATAAACCTTCCGATTTTCGGGTCGGCTGGACATTTGTCGTTACTATTTATTTTAATGTTTACTGAGATTTGTTTTATTCAGAGATATTTTTTGCAAACTCAGTAGAGCGAAACATCTATCCAATAAAAGTCATTCGATAATATCGAATATATTCAACCTCTGCCATTAGGTCATTTGATCAAATAACGGTATTATAACATGTGTGTGCTTATTGAAATCTACATCTTTATCTTTAAAATCAACCCCCAAAAGCCTGGTTTGCGCAATCTGCAAATGTGAATGATACTTCGTTGGATTAATTGTCAGTCATTTAAAGACGTAGTAGCTATTTACATACACGATTACCAAGTTTTATCAATGAAGATTAGAAAAACCTAGATAGTGAAAACAAAAAATTCAGTTTTATGTAAAACATTTAAAAGTTTGACAAGTTTGGTTTTTCACACACATACTTCATCCATTTGACAAAAGGAGTTCACAAGATTTGTTAGATAAAAAGCATAATAGAATGGTTCGGGCCATATTGATTCAAGTTTACTCAAGGCCATAAAATTCGTTCGGGTGCAAACTAACAACTAGTCTCATTATTGCACAGTATCCATGCATAGCACTAAACAAGGATGTCCAACTATTCGCTGTTCGATTTTGTGTAATAATAAGCATTTATTCACTCAAGTTAGGCTTAAAGGATAGAAAAAGCTAACTGGTTGTTGCTAAATAACTAGAAGTTGAAAATGTTTCAAAAAACACAACGTCATGTTACAGTTTAACGCTTCGAAAACGAACTAATGGTCACCAAATAACTTTTTGTCGATTTGTCGAATTATAAAAGCTTTTTATAGCAAAATCTCACTTCTTTTATTTTTGCACTATTACGTACATGAAGTATAATTCTTAATTGTTCAACATTCTCTTCAGTCTTAAATTGTGTTTTTAAATTAAATTTGAAAATTTCATCCAGAAAAAGAATAAATTCGATGCATGTTCAGGTGAAATTTTTATGCAACCGACAATAATTTTATCCAAACAGGACGTTCTGATGATTTGAACTAAATAGTAATACATGAAGACAGATTAGCTTGATTTCAATTTATTGAAGTTTGAAGTAGATTTCACTTTCTATCTTGATCTGAATTCGAATTTTCACTTTCTAACCATAAATTTCTTTAGCATTTGTCACAAAATTAAACTATTTTTCTTAGAAATTTGATCACTTTATCGTACAGATTTTAGGTTAGTTTTCATTTACATTTTACGACGTTTATGGTTATATTGATAGGAACACTAGTTCACAAAGATAAAATGGATGACTTATGTTTACAGTTTATCTAATTTCATTTTTAAAAATGGCGAACTATAAAGCTGGAAATTTACAAACAAACACTAATGTTCTATATTCATTATTATTTACATGATCTTTAATCGTATTGTTCACATTCACATATGCAAGTAAGAACGTTAATTAAAAGAGTGCTAGGTCGCAGGTGAAAACATAAGTGAGAAGGATTAGAACATGATGATACAACTTTCCAATATTCCCTTGTTTTCAAGGATTCTACAAGCTGATTTCAATCCCGGTTAGAACCATCTTAAAAATCCTCATGTATGAAATATTCACTATAATTTGTATTTTTGTTTTTGACGATATATTTTTTCAAAGTGTTTTTTTACCTGATGTCTGTTTATTGTTTAACCTTAACACAGCGAGTATAAAAACCGCCTTTTTCAAACATTTTAAGCGCATATTAGTCATTCCGAATTAAGGGAAAAATATTCAAGTATTGTTCGCCTATACAGTTAACCAGTGAAGTTTCTCATGTTTCTGTCAAACTTAATTTGTTTAGTTATGTGGCAATTATTCATAATGACTTACTTTGATGTAACTGATATCTATGAACAAGGCCCCATTTGCTAATATGCCAAACAGTCAATAACTATCTATCAGATGTATGAGTATTTAATGATATTTCAGCTAAATATGAATTAAAAAAACCCTAAACCACGTCCATACACAGGTTCACAGAAAAAAATGGAATGGTTCAAGTAAATTTACCACCGAAACGCCCGTATTAAATTTATCTAAGGTATACTGCTTTTCATAGTCTCTACAGGGATTATTATTTACAGTGTCAAACGGTAATTTTCTACAGCTATGATCGCAAATCATCAAGATTACATTCTAAGATCACTGTTATTTACATAACAATCGTAGTTCCGCTAATCGCTTTTTTACCTCAAATTCAAATCCTCTTCTTGACTTACTAATCACTATATAAATTTGAGAAATCGGGAAAAATAAATTAAACGTAGCTAAAAAATTTATTTAACTGATTTTTCGATTTGGAATTATTTCTTTACAGTCCGACACAATGTACGATGTGAAGGCTGCAAACGTGAACCGATTAACGGTCTACGCTACAAATGTACTCGATGTCCCCACTATAATTTATGCCAAGACTGTTTTTGGATTGGTGTTACCACTGATCAGCATACAAATGCACATGATGTAAAAGAATATAGTGCTGCATCGGTAAGTTATTGCTACCATGATTGGATATAAATATAGGAATCTAGTGTCTAAGACAAGATTTATCTATTTAAGAAATCTCTGAAAAAAGTACTGCATAAGTGATTTATTACAGTCCATGATTATATACATCACTTTACTGTAAAGCTTACCAGAAAGACATGGTTCGTAATGAATAACAGTGACCAAAATACTTAAAATGTTTTAATAAACATCTTTAAATAGTTTAGGAAACGGGAACGTTTAGTATACGTAAGTTTTCTGTATATTAATAAAACAAGAAACTATCTTAAATGCAATTTACGTCTGGGTTCGTAATATATACGTAATAAATCACTTTGAAAACTCCTCCTGGAGCCCCTCTAGGGGCTACTGAGCTCCCAAGCCCGGATAAATGAGGAGGGTTGGGCATGAGGTTGACGACCACATCCTATAAAAAAACTAACTCGCTAAAAAAACGCTAACCAGAAAAATCAATTCAAACCATTTTAACTCTGTCCTGGGAGTTAGAAGGTCTTCATGATTAAAGACGATTTTCTTCGGAAGTTGTGAGGTCGATGCCCCTTCTGACAACCATATCAACCATTCTTTTAGGTATATGGAATATTCAAACATTGTGTGAGATAGAAGACTATTCCGAGTGGCTGCACAAATGCAAAGATACAAACTCGAGGTTCTTGAAATGAGTGAAATGCATTGAACGCAGGTTGAACAAATAAAACAAGCTTCAGAAGAGCCGTTGTTATACTCCGGCCGTGAAGAAGAAAATGCCCCACACAGACAAGAGTTGCACTGATGCTGTCCAAACATGCACAAAAGGCATTGATAGGATGGAGATCTCATGGACTCAGGACTATCAAAGCATCGTTCAAAACAAAGAAAGAGGTCATTACAATGAATTTCATCCAATGCTACGCACCTACCAATGACTACGATGAAGAGGTTAAAGATCAGTTCTACGAAATACTGCAGTCAATCGTCGAGAAATGCTTTTCAAAGGATTTGACTATTCTGATGGGAAGGAAACCCAGATGCCAAGGTTGACATGGACAACACTGGATACGTGTTTCGTTCTCTGAGCTGGATGTTTTGGCTGTGAAGCTTTCGTTGTTCTTCTGAACAACACCAGCACAAAATTCATGGGACGACATGGACTGGGAGAAAGGAAGGATGACAGTGTGAGATTCGCAAACCCATAAGCCTTCAAAAAACTAGTCATCGGCGGCACAGTATTTCTAGACAAACGCATGCACAAAGCTACATGGATTTCACCGAATCACACAACACAGAATCAAATCGACCATACCTGTATCAATAAAAGGTTCAGAAGGATGATGGGGGATGTGCGAACCAAAATAGGAGCTGAAATATCTTCGTAGTGGCCAAGATGAAACTGAAACTCAAGAAACTCTGGAAAACGCTGTGGGAAACATCACAAAAGTTTAATACGACCTTTATTAGGGATACTGACAAACTTCAGGAATTCAAGATAACTCTCAGAAATAGCCTACAGGCCTTTCACGATCTACTCAATGGAGATTAAACTGCTATGGAAAACAACTGGAAAAGCATCGAGGAGGGAACCACTTCAACACATCATGAGGTCCTGGGCTACAAGCAGCCACAGCAGCGGCAGGTCTCAACATAAATGAAAGGAAAAGCAAGATTCTCCGATACAACACAACATGCGCTAACCAAATCACTCTTGATGGAGATGCCTTTGAGGACGTTAGAACCTTTACATATCTGGGCGGCATCATCGACAATCAAGGTGAATCCGATGCAGACGTGAGGGCGCGAATCGACAAAGCAAGGGCTGCATTTCTACAATGGAACAACATCTGGAACTCCTAACAACTTTCAACCAACACCAAAATCAGAATTTTCAATACAAATGTCAAAACAGTTCTACTGTATGGATACGGAAACTCGGAAAACTAACAAAGCCATCATCCAGAAGATACAAGTGTTGATTAATAGTTGTCTACGCAAAATACTTCGGATTCGTTGACCAAACACCATCAGCAACAACGTACTGTGGGAGAGAACTAACAAGATTCCAGCGGCGGAGGAAACCATTCAGAAACGGTGTAAGTGAATAGGACACATAATGTGTGAAACACTCAACTGCGTCACGAGACAAGCCCTCATTTGGAACGCCCAAAGTAAAAGGAAAAGAGGAAGGCCAAGAAACACATTACGTCAAGAAATAGAGAAAGACATGAGAGAAATGAACAAAAGTTGGACAGAACTGGAAAGGGAGACCAAGGACAGAGTAGGTTGGAGAACACTAATCGGCGGGCTATGCTCCATTTGGGTTAACAGACGTAAGTAAATAAGTATGTAAGTAAGAATTACTCTGAAAGAAAGACGCATCCTATTAAAGATATAAAACTGGCTGAATAGGAGCTGATAAACTTCCCAGAAAATAAACATTATGTGATGAGGTGATAATTAAGTAGGATATGTTTGTTTCTAATTTAAGAAACTACAGAATACAAACAATATTTATAAGATTTTCTTTCTACGTACTCATTTTTATCATGTTACCTGGTCAACATTACATTTTAACAACAAGCTATAAAGTTTGATACCTATTAAATTTCCAGGAACAAACAGACACTCCGGCTCGTTTTGATCATTCGACTACGTTATTAATTGAAGGGATTCGTGGAGACTGTATTATTTCCATACTTAAAATCATAAATCGATCTCAACTAGACCACCATTATAAATTTCGATGCACTGGACAGCCGCTTTGCCCCATCATGGAACATCTTAAGGATTGATTGATGCTTGACATTAAAACTAAGTGATGCCGACTCATTGATCCAAAGGTTAAGCATCCGTAGACGCTGTGTTTAACTCCCGTGTAGAGTGGTATTAGGTGAGAACTGCTGAGGATTCTCATACTAGAACAAAACCCTTGTCCAGTGCTTCCAGGTTTCTATTGGTGATTTCAATTATCATCAACCAGTTGAATAATAGATATTAGAACCAAAACCGTTCATTTATGATAAAATCTTAGGTCTTAAGAATCATTGTTAGGAACTATCCTCATCACTCTAAAGCTGTGGAAGCCTATATACACAAAAGTGATGATGACGATGTGAGGATAGAAGTATGTACAGAAACCACTTTCCGAAAAAAAAAAAGCTGCTGCATTTTGTCATTTTAAAAACCCTTAATTCTATTTTAAAATTCCGGTATACCGTAAAAACGACAACTGAAAGTCCCAAAACTGGTATACATATTCTCAACATTGTTTTATGAGAACTAACACCAGCTGATGCATTTTAATGGGAAACCACCACATCGTGGTTAGACTAAATTCATGCTCTTCAGTCAGCTGTCAACAGTAGTTAAGAATCATTTCGAGGTAAATAGATCTGCTGCTGAATACTCACAGATTTTTTTCATAAGGTCTTTATAGAAAAATATAGGAGTAATCCTTACTATATACTGTGGAACACTATAGTAGTTATTGAAGTGTTAACAGTGTTTAACTGGTGAATTTTCCACTAATTTCATTTCAGAAATCTCATTCCCGTCAGTTTGGGCATTCTTTGAGAAAATCATTTCAATTTGGACGGGCTATTACTAACACCACGTCATCAAATGTTGTTACCACATCTTTCACAAGTAGCTTCAGTGAACGTCAGAAATTTTCAGGCATGAATGTTGTGCGTCGTCCACATGTAGGATCTATATTTGAATGGAATTCAGACCCTACTGTGCCAGCCGGTATTGTTTCTTGCGTAAACGGCATTGCGTCAGCTGTACAGCCGTCCTCCGTACCGATTAATGTTACTATGGGTGTTTCTACAGGATATCTCCCAGGGTATTCTGTTTCAAATCAGAGATTCATGGCACCAGTGAATACTATTTGCAGTCCACTACCAAATCGGCGCTTACAACAACTCAATCCTGTATTTTTGGCAACTCGACCAAATACTAACATATCTAACTTCCCATATGCAACTTCCCAATCTGTACAAGTTCAGCCTGCTGTTAACAGATCAAACGAATTAAATCAAGGATCAAATAGTGTTGCACAAAACATAGTAGCCGTTACCTGCTACACAAATATGATTCAGCAACAAGACATGATTGCTGCAGAGTATACGAGAGCAGGTAAGCTACACTTTTGCGTATTTTTCGCTCTGCAAAATTATCACTGCTTGTTGTGACCAGTCGTATGTTAATCTTTAGCTGCTCCTCAGTTTATTAATCGAAGAATAAATTGTTTATTAACTAAAAACATCCATAAGAGGTATTTGAAATGTGAAACTAAAAGACTGTCTGCTATAACGTCCGCATATCCTATCACAGTTGGATTAAACTGATAAACGCATATTATCGTGTAAAATTTAGTTTTACGTTAATCTTTTCGATCGAAATTGCACACTAACGGCTTCAATAAATACAATAAACTATACAGGTATTATTTCAAGAATATTGATTATCATCATTATCCATTGATGAAGAGGTGGCTTATCGAATAAAATGCCTGATGTATGGCTAATAACCGTAAGATCCGAAACTCACTCCACTTCTTTCGGTTAAGCAGGGAAAGTTCATGGACCTAATTACTTTTGAGCCAATTCACTCTTTTAGATAGATACTTTCTACTTGATTACAAAATTATGCTTACTCAGTTCTACTCGAAGCTTGATACCCGGAGTGATAAAATATAAAAATCAAGATTATTCACAATCGGTCATTAAACATGTTGATGTAATTCAGTTTCAGTTTCCTTCAATTTATTTCAGGACACAGTATTCCGTATTCTGAAGTACCTCCCGATTCACACATGTCCAATCTATCAGGAGCGAATTATCAACCACTGCCTATGTAAGTATGTGTTGTAATAATATTTCCTTGTTTTGGTTTTATCTCAATAATTCATTTTCACTCAGGTTATATGTAACGTTTCACTAAATATGACAACCAAAACTAGGATCAGTGTAAAGGAACTGTTTGACCTCAGTAGCGATGACCTACTTGAAAATCTGAATTGACTATTTTTCTAACCATCAGGATACTTTAATGAGGAATCTTTTTGTAAGCAATTGAACTAAGAAAATCTATCAAATAATCCTATCATTCACACACGCGGTTATATTAAACGATTATAATTTATCGTTTTACAAAACAAAGTTCAAGTGCTTACATTCATTAAAATATTAAAGATTCCCATTGTGAAAATTAGAGCAACATAATATAAATGAACAATATTGTTTTCGATTAGATCGTCATCAGGCTTTACTCTAGCAAACATGAATAGTGATATGAAAATATTAAACCAGTCAAGGCAATTTGAGTCATTGACCACAATGAAATGGAATGGATTACGTCACTACACAAAATAGGTGGAAGTACATGTTGATAGTAGGAAGACAGGTGCAGTGATAGTAGTAAGAAAAATGGAATGCGATAACAAACGTTTTATCAGTAGTAGGTCAAACGTGGATAAATAGACTTAAAATAATCATGATAAAACATTAAGATCATTACTTAATAAGAAGTGTGCACGTAATTAGATAGTGAAGAATATAAATGGAAAGAGGCAGAAAATTATCAACAAATACTGGATGTGAAAAGAATACTAATAATTACAAAACAAAATTTAAAAAATTGTTAAGCCTTACTTAAATCATATCCGGCCGCGGATGATAAAGGGCTGTCATGAAATTCTTCTGAACACATAAATAGGGGTTGAATGTACGAATCCCTATGGCTTCTGCTATGTGTAGGAGGCGGGATAGAACTCCGTTGGGAAATGATGGAGGTATACGATAGATCAGCCGAAAAGATCTAGACTAATATACGATGTGACCACTATCAACCAGATGTGCCAAGATAGAACTGCGTATTGATTATAACTGGCCCTTCATAAACCATTCGGAGAGGTGTTCACTCATTCGTTGGTTAAGTTGCCTGGTAGTACGCACGATATAGCTACCTCCACAGTAGCAGCTGAATTTGTAAATGCACATAGAGGAGGCCAACTCAGGTAACTTATCCTTCGTTTCGGTAGACATCGTTGGTCGATTTGAGAAGGTCAACGCAAGTTTGTTTGCGTTGAATGTTGTACTAGTTACTTTTATTAATCTGTCCTGCAGAGTATCGCAAGCCACATCTCCGTTGAATTGTAGTTTAATAAATGAAGACTTTTTTCGAGCGGTCGAAATTAATGACTTCTTTTTTACATCAAACATATAAATCCTTATGAATACGCTGGGGTAGCCGATCTTGGTCAGTGAGCTGTTGATAAATTCCAGTGTCCACAGAAAAAATCCCGTTGCTTGCCAACCCACTCACTTTTGTAGTTTTACTTCTATCCGCTGCAAAAGAAGTTTGATTATATGTCTCACTAGCATAGCAAAAATGATCTGTCCAGTGGACACTTTCAGTCAAGTTTTACCAACATCAAGTATCTGAAGTTCTGCTTCTTGTTTCTCCACTTTTAAGGAAATATTTTATCTCATTATTTACCGAAATTAATGTTTGGAAATTTTTCAAGTCCCTTAACTCATCACAATGTTGAGGACTTGATGACGAACTACTTTATTTTCTTTGAGAAAAACTTCATAGTTTTTATCATCCATTGATACTATTCTTTAAGAAATTATTTTTAGGACTGTTATAGCAAACGTTTTGGAGTGAATGAAAATTATTTCACTGTCACTGAACGTGTTCGTTGATACGAACACGCATAGAAGAAACCCCATCTCAAAACAATGACGAAACTATTACTTCTTGTATTTCTGCGGTAATTAGAGAAGCATACTGATCCACAGTAGTCTGCCTAAAAATGTAAAAAAAATACCTCGGAAACTATAGTTATCGTGAACAGTAATCCTGTGCCCGATTCGGCAAAGAGTAATCATTATATTCGATCCAATTTTCTAGACCACATGTCTGCCTCTGACTCTGTACTAATGTCACTATTAGTAAACATCAAAGCTAATTAACTAATTAGCTGCATTTTCACTTTTCTGAAAGAGAACATTTTATTATGAACTCCTTTATTAGTTGAAGTTAATCTAGTTTAAAAATCTGTTGTTTGCTCCCTTCCATTTTTCCTTTTTCTCATACGGATAGACCGACATCTACAAAACCGTTTTCGCCGCAAACGGCTGCATTATATGGACACAAGATCTTTTCTCTTCTAAATGTATTAAAATAGATATCCTATTAGTGCACACTGAACAATGACTACATGGAGCAGATTTATACTAAATCCTTCAAGATACCAAACTGTTAACTGTGGCGCCAGATATTAAAATAAACTAGACATGTTGGGACTGCATACAATTTATACTACTAGAGACTCTATGATCAAGACTATGTCAAATGTTACTTATCTCAATGTATTTTTAAATTCTGTTACCTCTCGGTCTTCCCATGTCTCGTTAATATCAAAAGAATGTGTCAATATTTTACCAAAATAAAATTAAAATTTCAGAAGAATCACAGAGCACCGAACCGGTATTTAGTTCTAGAGTAGAAATCGTTAGCAATTTACATTCACGTATCGCTGTGAGTAAACAAGTAAGATATCATCGAGGCATTTAGGTTCAATGTGTTTTTCGAAATCGTAACTCAAGTAAAACATGATTCACTATCAACTAGAATGACTTAACTGTTCATGGCTTTTCATTGTAAAATGTTAAGAAATTAATTTTATAACAAAACATAGTTTTGTATTCAGCACATCAACTGTTCTTTCTCTGGTTTCACATTATGATAAAAAATATCGACCTATATATATATTTCCATAAAGCCAACTATATGGGTTAAGCTAAAACACAAAATGCCCTATGAACAATAATCTTCATTCACTTGTAATGCTAAAAAGAGAATTTATATTGTTATATTTTATACAAGGCTACTTAATAATTCAATATGATTTACTTACATTATTTATGTTAATGAAATGTATTCTTCTTCTATGTAACTTTCTTTTGTATAGATCATGTTACTCTCAACCTACCACAGATGTTTATTCAATGGGCGGTAATCAACAACACCAGTTAACTACTACAACGACTTCACAGACAACTACTATACAATCTACTTCCATTGTATCTGTAAATAATAATGATAATTTAATTAATTCAAGTATGGGAACTAGTTTCTCGTTAAAAATGCATAATCTTGATCAAAAGTCTAATGAAGAACATAATTTAATTGCTAGATATGCTGCCCAGTTAGCTGCTGCTTCAGCATTGAATCAAGAATTCGATGTAAGCCATCACTTTACCAAAAAAATTACATCCTTGTTTATAGGTGCAAAACTTTATAGGTGGATTATTAAAAAAAAACCTACCCTTGATGATTTATTCTATAAACATGAGTTTTTGTTGTTGTTGTTATAAAAAATAGTTCTGAGGATTTATAATTGAAAGAAAAGTTAACTGGGCAGCAAATTAGCCAAACGACATGAATCTCAATTAAAAAAATAACTGCAAAAATAAATATGAATTGGAAATTTCTGTAAGGGTTCGTTCATGCTATTTAAGTCTGAATTCTGATTAGTGTTCGTCATCAGATGTGAGTCTAGAGTAGATTCCCCGGTTTATTATGTTTGTCATAAATTTTAGTCGATTCGTGCTATGAGGGGGCACATAAATATTGTTTTGAGGCATTAGCTAAAGACCCATATATGTCAACCAAGAGTGATCATAATTCCGTTCTGTTTATTCCAAGTAAGATAATAAAACCCCCTATTTCAACTAAGTAACATGATGTCTAACTCACTGGCATCTGAAACAGTCTTTACTATTTTCAATTCCTAACAACAGTGAGCTGTCATCATATATCTAAATAACAAACCCTGAGTAGGACGAAATACGTGTTCTAAATCCCTCTGTTCGTCAAAATCCAAATAAAAGCTATTTTGTTCCCAAGTCCCTTTTGACAGATAGCTGGAAGACTTAGATTAAGTAGGCTAATTACTCCCCAAGGAAATTAAAATCAAGCTTCCTTGTTGACTGTCATTTAGCTGGATTACTTCAAACTGAATCTTTAAATATAGCGGTGACTTTTCAATGTAACCTTTTGCATGAGCTATTCAGCTGACTACTTGTTTCTATTATTTTTGACAATAATCGATGTGAGAGCAACTGTTATTCATCTACAGTGTAGTAATTGTTCTATCAGAAAAAGAATTCAAAAATTTAAAAATTTGCATAAAACAATAAAGGACAAGGAATATCAGATCGAACGATTTCGGCCGATATTCTCTCGGGGTTGTATAGGCATAATCCCATAATTATTGTATTAGACCAGAGAAATAAGTAAAGTTTATTCTTAAACTTTCACATTGGATTAATTAGTGTTATGAATCAAAAATAGAGCATTAAATGCTATCATAAAGAGTTGGTGATAAAGTTATTGAGTCATACAAGATAGAGTAAGGAAAATACATCCCTCAAAGGAGTGATTTTGATTTCTAACTAATTCATCAACCTATCGGTTTAAAATTAACACAAAATAGAAATAGTTGTCATAGTAGTAGTCATAAAAACAATAATTATTCATGAGTATATCGTAGTGAATAAGTAAACTGAATGTGCGATCAAAAAATAATAATAATTGTCATCTGTGGAAATACAAAATTATCTCTACAGTCAATCAGACGGAAAACAATGGATCATTAAACGATTTAATGACCATGCCAATATGCATTAGCAAGTGCACATGAGTAAAAAGTTTTGAATAAAGCTAAAATAGAAACTCACTTATGCCTGTTAAGCCCAACTGAGCAAAGACCGCCGACTAGTATTCTCCAATCGGCTCTGTCCTTGGCCTCTCTTTCCAGTTCTGTCCAATTTTTGTTCGTTCTTCTCATGACTTTCTCTGTTTCTTGGTGCAATATGTTCCTTGGCCTTCTTCCTTTCCTTTTACTTTGAGGGTTCCAAATGAGGGCTTGTCTTGTGAGGCAGTTGAGTGTTTCACGCATTATGTGTCCTATCCACTTCCACCGCTTCTTCCTGATTTCCTCTTCCGCTGGAATCTGATTTGTTCTCACAAAAATTCTTTCATCAACTGAATGCTAATTGAGAAAATTAGCAAATAAAAAAAAATAAAATGTCTTCACTAACAAATATTTTTATTAGCTACTTATATCAGTGACAATAATTTGTTAACTAACTGCTTTTGTAAATGATTTTTTCATTTTATTCCAGAAATTAGGTGATTTTGTTGAATCGACACAAACGCAGAAACAGTTGATTGCTCAACTACAAGAAAAAAACAGGTGAGCCACATATTGAATAACAGTACAACAAATGCTTTTGTGCAGACTTAAAATTACAATTATTGAGTAATTTCAGTCTCATATATATTTACCATCGATTCTCTTGAATTTACATTTTCCAAGAAGAGGAACTCAAAGCCTTGATACATATGTACGCACTAGATGTTAAATAACTACATTTATTCACTCAAACATAACATTTTGATTCGATAGCTGTTATCTTTAAATTAAGACCATTCCAACAATTTAAGTAATTAGTAGATATGTATTACGCCGGTTCAGTGAATTTGGAAGTTTTTTATTTCACTTTATTAACCAGTAGTGGTGAATTTAACAATAATACCTAATCTATAGATAAATGTTTTAATTGACAACATGTCCAAATCAGCAAGTAACATTTGGACGATCTTTAATTGAATAAAACAGTCATCGATAAACTTTCCATATTTCTTTACGTACATTTTAATTAAATGCTTCCGTTTCGGACATATCTCTTCAGTCTGTTATATCTTAAGTGCTACATAGTTAAATCCCATAGATGATTTCTTGATGAATTTAAAACATTTTTGGATTGCCTAAAATGGCGGTTAATTTCTTGAATGACATAACACGTGATACATAATATCAATTGACTGAAATTTTATCTGCTTACTGTGATTAAATCTAATATTTGACGTCCATAAAGACTAATTCGAACACAAATCTTTGTCTTATCTGTAACCGTTGTCTAATATCACCTGACACAAACAAAACACTAACCAGAAAATTGATTTCTATGAACTTCTCACTGACTTAACAGATGGCACACCAATATTCTTACAACAGCGCTCAGAATTGATGATTAGGCATATAAAAAATATAAAAGCACATTACATCATGTAATAGGTAAATAAGCTGTGTTAGAAAAATTACTTTTACACACTAAGAAAAATATTTAGCTCAAAACTTTAAAGCAAACATATATATATATAATACTGATGTAAAATGATATGGAATTCTGAAAAATGTTTCACTTGTTTATCAGTCAAGTAAATGACCAAGATTATCATTGAGATAAAATAACATGAACAGTTAATATTGGATAAGTATACGACAAATCGTTTCACATAGCGAATGGTCTGTTTCCTACAAATTCAATCGTTACTTTATAAAAAAGATATCTGTTTGATTGGTGTACACTTTAATACTATTGCCAAGTTTCATTTCAATAAATATTCCCTTTCATGAATCAAAAAAACCGTATTTAAACAATGCTTTTCAAGTGAAAATAATTCAGACTTTAGACTTGTTAATACGTTACTTAGTCAGTTAAAAAAAGAGTAAAAGATAACAATTAATAATTTTGTCGTTATGTATAACAGTGTTCGACGTTGATTACTTGAACTTGTAATTTTGTTTAGTCTTGACTAGTACTGAACATTATTCACTTCAGTGATAATAATAAATGATTAAGTGAGCATTAGATAATATACCTTTATTTTTGAACCTCACACTTTGACAATGAACAACATAAAAATAAAAATTGATTCCGTTACTTCCTTTCATCTCTTTGACTTGCTTAGCACCACTATTTTTAGCTGCTACACTTCAAAACTTCTCTTTAGTACACATAATTAAATTGGATAAACTGTAAATATTATGCTAAATTATATCATTGTATGGATGTGCATAGTGAAAAGATATACAAGGACTGAGTAAATGTTGTTTGATTATCAAATGGGATAAAAGTTATGTCTAAATAACAAAGCGGTGTTTTTATTGTATTTTCACTTTGAAGTCTATGTATTACTGGTTGGAAATTACAGAAAGAAATAAGGTTTAAAGTTAGTTTGTATTATTCAGATAGGCAGGAGACTGATAGATAGTAATTGACCAACGGTTTTCAGAACAAGTGAAAAGTTCAAATACGTGGTTAAAGATATTGTTCTAAGCTGCTGAAACGCTTACAACCTATCAGCCAGATATATCAAACATTTGTTTCTCAATATAAGACAAACAAATGATTATATAAATATATATATATATATATATATATATATATATATTTGACTTTAGTCTTTTATAAATCATTAAATTGTAAAATGTTTCATGACACTGTTTTAGAAAAATACTCAAAGAAATTGAACGATTACGAGTTGAGCAACAAAAACAAGCGGCATTTATTGCTGCTGCTGGTTCTCTTAAAAATGATTCCTCAGAAGTACAAGACGTTTGTGACGAAAGTGCTGGTACACTTAGCCCAACAAACTTAAAACAATATTTAAAATCGGACAATTTATTGTCCTCTGGAGTTGGAAACTCACTGAATTCAGAAAATCCCCGTTTGGTTGCTGATCTACAGGCTTTGCGCCAAAGAAAAGATGAGTTAGAGTCAAGAATGAGTAATCTACAGGTAAGTAATTTCGTCGTAGCTTAAGATCTGAAACTTTCAATTAAAACGTGCTTCTAAATAAAATGTATATGCAAATTACGAATTTTCAATCTACCCTATTTTTCATAAGACTTTTTGAGTCATTTCAACTCATGAAAAATGGATTTTGATGCCATAAAGGAAAGTCCTTCTCTAGTGGGAAACCTTAAACTATTCTAAAACTTTACAATAGTTTAATGGTTGTCGAAGTGAAGTTAGTCTGTGGCATGAACTATCATCGAAAAGATTATAATAGGCTTAAAATTCGAGGAAGAAGTGTCAAATCATATGCAACATACAAATGATTCACGCTACAGAGACATTTTTCAGTCACCTGATGAGGCTAGTAACTTTCATTGGCAAAAGCTAGTTTAAGAGACAGAAGGCTAGGACTGACAATATATTCATAGTTCCTCGGTAATTTATCCTAAGAAATACATAACCAGGTAGAGCTGATTAATTAAGCACAGTGACAACACAAAAATAAGGACATAAACTTATCGGAATAATATCACTTGAAAGCTAGTTATTTGTATTTACAAAAGAAAATGGATACAACAGTCCATGCAAATATCCTTTACATTAAGTTTCCACTGATGACTAACCGTTTCTTGCTGTTTGGATCTTTTGGAGCTGCAGGTAGTAAATGAAAGGTAAACCGTAATTTATTTGATTACTGCTAATACGTGAGTGAGCAAGTAAATTCACCTTTTCGTAAAAAGAAGAAATATATTTCTGATTTATTTATGATGACGTTTCTATGAAGATCTGAAACAAAATCCATCTGTTTAACCGAGATATCTATCAATCTGTAATTTAGTGATCATTATATAACAAATTATTTCATTGGCTTCATGTAACAATAAAAATATGTATAGTTTTAAAAACTTGGTTGAAATAATCCCAAATACGTTTTGAATGGAACTTTTCCACGCAACAATTACAATGAATCTGATAAATAGTATTATGTAAACAATGTATATTTTTAAAATTCTTCAAATTTGTTTCATGCATCCATGAACACCATTATAGATAAAAGATAATTTGAAAGGTTTATACTGAATAAATTTCTCTTTTCATTATATATTTAGCGTAGTCGAACGGATTTGATGTTACAATTAGAAGTATTGGTAAGACTTTTATCTGTTAGTACAGGAGTCGCCAATGCACGTGATAGCGATCCTTCAGTATTACTTGATCTAAGTGATATTCGCCAAACGGGTCATAATTCTCGACTGAATCAAAAAGTTTCCAATTATCCGCCAAGACGAAGTACAAGTTTATGTCAGCCAACAGTTGGGAGAAGTTATCAAGAAAATATCTCTGTGGTTAGTTGTTTTTTCGCATTCCTTTATAGCAATTCCTTCACTCATATGTAATATTGGTTTAATTAAACAAACACTTACCTGATGCTTGGCCAAACAATGGTTGCATTTCTTGGAAAATCTTACTTATATTAATGTTTACTATTAATTAACAATAAATAAATAAACGGTTGCCTTTTTTAGCTCCAAAACAACCTAGCCATATTCTTTAAAGCATCTCATGTACTTTGAGAAATTATAAAAACTATTGTAAAAGTAAAAGTCTACAATCAGCTTGATACTGTCTAAAGCTAAAGTTAGTATGTTCTTTGGAAAGACAGTAATAATTTGTGTTGCCTACATAGCATTCCCTCGTCTTTACAACTTTTTATTTTCACAAAAATGATTAACTGTAGTTCCAGACATAAGAAAAAAAAGACTTAAAAATACATTAAAAGTTTGGAGTTACTAACAAATTGGCTTCAAAATTATGTGGCATACTAATTTTTAAAATTTCTAGAATTCAGTATTCGTCCCAGTCTTCAAAACATACTTTTAACCAATAATAACACTATGGAATTCGAATAATTCACGTTATCCCTCATTTTCATCTGTAAATACAAGTTTTCAGTTCAAATATTGTAAATAGATATTTGATGTACAACAATAAACTCTGGTTGTATATAAATCACTCCCAGTCAAATACAGTCAATTCATTGTATTCTTAAATGTTGTTCTCTCTTTATTTAGACTTGTAAAGGAAACAAAGTGCATGAAATAAAGATGTTTATTTCAATAAAATACTTAGACTTGCCATTAATCAACACAATTTCTGACTATGTATGGAGCCTACGTTTACCTGTATATGACAGACCTTTTCTATTCATATATACCGATATTAACCAAAGAGAATTACTCATTATCAACATGTATTAATATAATTTGAACGAGTTGAAACCTTTTCTTTTACATCGAACTATAAACTATCTGAGATCACGTTGACTACAGAATAATAATTTGATACTGAATTTATCATTTTCTTGGAATAAATATTGCAAACTTTTTTAATTGTAGGAAAGTAGATATGACGAAACAAATGGTGTTCATCAAAAACCCGGTTCCTCGGATAATACGGGTAAAATATTTTCCCCTCTAAAAACAATTACGGTTGAAGAAAAAGGTGGACAATGGAATTTTAAATTTCCTGACGATAAAAAGCATGAGTTGCATTCACCCTCATCAATTTTGTACAGGTACCGAAAACGTTTTCACATGTTCAACTAGTAGATGATGATTTTGAATCACGTAAAAATTAGAAATGGAATTTCATAGAACATTAATTTAAACATTTTTATCTTCCCCTCAATATTAAACTTGCATGAAAGGATACAAAGCTATTCAGAAAAACCTGCAAGAGAAAGCTTACGAGTGAAAGCAGCATATTAATTCTACGTCCCAAGTCATTTGTTGCAACTTTAAGTTTTTCGCCAAAGTGCACTAAAACACCGTCGGTTAAGCATTTTTAGCAAATCCAACTCTTTTTACAGTAACTTTTCAATATCATTTTGCATAATAATTTCTAACTGGCATTTTCCCGGTTACAATAAGTTAAAGAGTAGAATTTATAGCATACAGATTATTATATCTCGCAAGTGGTCAACATTTTAACTAACTAGCCTTCAACAATATTTTCGAATCATTATCTTCAAATGCTTTATGAAAACATTGGTCATATTGATTAGGATGTTTTAATTTTTAGTACCAATAAGGTGAACAGTTAGTATTAATTTCATTAACGCCATAAGCGTATATCACATCGTTGTGTGTGTACCTAATGATTTCTTTCACGAATAATGTATCTTAAATATGTTTTGTCACACTGAAATATGATTTTCTCTGATTGCTACTTTTATATTGACTATGATTTAGAATGCTTTTTGCTAACGAATTAAAAATACATTGAATACCACCTAGTCTATACTGAAATTATGATATAATTTTTGTAACAATAGGTAATTAAATGAGTAGACCAGCCGCTAAACTTAGAAATGAAAAGACTGAAAACATCTTGCTGTTTCTTTATCCATGTGAAAATGTAAAAAGATGTTGAAAGAGAGAAGGCCATTTTAAATTCATCTTATCATGTTCGTCTACTTGATTAAAAGTTCCTTATTTAATTTTCTTTAGGATTACATAGATCACTGTAAACGTAATTCAAATAGAAAATCAAAAACGCTTCCCTCAAGGTCACCAAGGTTTTCATTAACCATTAAACATGGCTAACAAAAATGTAATTTTAGGTTTCTTAATACCTTATAGGTTTTTCGTAATGAACTGAAAATTTCCAAATTTTTACTCATTTGAGCATCGCAGCTGAACTTATTTCACTAGACGGAACATCAGTTGGATTCTCTTTTTATCATTTTCTGCTTTTGTGTTTGATTTGATAGACATTCACCTGAACTTGGTCCTCAACGATCATCAGATACTGTGGTTGAAAAGTACAAGGATCTATTATATAAAGGAACGAGTACACAAATTGGAGCTTCAAAATCATTAAGAGTACATTTTGGTGGAAGAAGACCCTATGTGGGAGTACGTTTTTTTATAATATTTTATTGATATTTGAAACCAAGATTTCTAAAATCCACTAAAATAAAACACCATTTAGAATCTCAACTAATGGAAAACCTGCTCGTTTGATATAACCATTGATAGGTAATCTGACAACATTGCATATCTAATTTTGATTATTCTAAGGATTCCTCGGAATATTATGGACGAATAGTCATTAAAATAAAACATTTTGACGATAATTTGACCAAGTATTTAACTTTACTCACTTCCTAGAATCAAGTGGTATTAACTAAATAAAAATTACTTATTTTTTGACCAAAAGTGTGTAAAAAAAAACCCAGCACTTCTATTCAACGTATTAAAGTCATTACTATGAGTGTATAATTTTTACTATACGTAATGAGCTACCCTACACACAATTTATTTGAGTTTATCTCACTGGATCTAGAAATTATTGCTTACAATATTTTTTGTTCACTTTAATGACCCGAGATCTGACTACATTCTCGGATAAACGATGAAATATGCGATGAAATAAATCTTCTCTTTGATTTTCCTTACATTCCATTTCAGTTAACTTCATATGTGCGATGACAGTAATAAGTAGTCCAATATGGTTAATTTTGAATAAATCAACGTCATACATTCAAAAAACAAACAGACATGAGGATAGAAATTGCAAAAGCGAATGGAAGCAAAGTAAAGTGAAGAAGTCGAGTGACTCAACTCTTTGTAATGAGGCATAATTAAGTGTCTATAGTTCGACAAAATTAAACTAGACAAGTGATAAGCTAAGGAAGAAATGTACGTCTGCAACCAACTCAAAACAAACAAGGCAATAAGCTGTAATTTTCGGGCAGAGTTTTGGAAGTTTGTGTTTTTACACATTTGAAATCATCAATTAATCATTGTTAGACCACCATTAGAAATCTGGAAGCACTGGACGGCCGTTTCGTCCTGGTATGGGACTCATAGGCAGTGCGCATTCACGACTCCTGCACCTCGCACAAATGGGTGAAATCGAGCGAAATCTGTAGATCAATCAGAATTACACATTAACACCGTTGGATGCCTGCCCAGTGGTCCAATGGTTAGGCGTTCGTGCGCAAGATCAAATATTCTGCGTTCGAATCCAGCGAGATGCAGGAGTCGTGGATGCGCACTGCTGATGAGTCTCTTACCAGGACGAAACGACCGTCCACTGCTTCCAGGTTTCTAATGGTGGTCTAACAATGATTGATTGATTATTTCAAATGTGTAATAAGCTGTAAATTGAAAAATCCAAAAGGCGTATGAATAAAATACATGAGAAGAACAGATGGATTAATTTGTCCAAAGGTTAGGAGAAGTCATGCGATTCAACCATTAACCACTACACATCACATACTCCTCATAATATGATTATGATAAAATTTGAAATGTTTTAGGATTTATTAATACAGATCATACCTAAAATGTGTTAGTCAATATCGTTGTTGTGCTGAACTTCTTAGGCTTTTTACATAACTAGATCACTTCGATCAATATACGCTGGTCGTTAAAAAAAGTTAGTCGATCATAAATGTGGTAGGTAAAGATAGTACTAAAAGTATACATGTTTTACTAGACTTATTAAATGATGGATGATTAGCCTTAAAGCGTTTAAGTGAACTTGCAAGGTTTCTCTCATTTGAATTTTTTTTATTTTATATCAGGCATTTTCAGTTGATGATAAAACGGAGCTTTTTAGTCATAATTCAGTAAATATGAACAGATTATCATCAAATCATTCATCACAACATACAAATCATTCGGATAGTGGATCGGATGCCTATTTATATTCAGATCCTGAATTGTGCTTTACAATCGTTGCATCAACCTGTGGTTCATCACAATCTGGCGTATCAGCTCCGCAAAGAACATCTCAATTATCACAATTCCTTTCGATAACTCCGTCAACTGCTAAAAGTTCAGATAAATCTAAAGGTTTTCTAGAACTTTTAACTAATAAAACTATAACAACAACTACCATTGTAGATAATTATGAATATGCTGGTTTACAGTCATCACCAATATCTCCATTATCATATTCATCAAATGAACACATTCGAAATATGAGAGCTAATGTTATATCAAACATTCCAACTACAACTAATCCTTAGTTTTTAAAAAAAGTACGTAGTTCTTTGATTTTAATCAATGTTTCACCCTTAATTACCAAACAATGCTATGTACTTGCCGATTGATCAAATAGATATCCACTGCTCTAGTATATATTTGAGCTAAACAGTTATTGTTTTCGGGATTATTTTACTTTTCATCAGGTAAGTTAGCTATCTTACTGCATGGTGATTCACAGTAAATTCCAAAAAAACAAAATCCGGATATATTTCTGCCGGCCCCATCAGTTAAGAACACTTATGATGATGGCGTACAAAAAACTATTAGAAAAGTTTTAAATTTTAAAGCTCATCTGGGTAGAAAATATTTATCTTAAATGAATATGGTCATAGTTAACAACTATACTATTATTAAAATCTTGTTGTTTATAGATATATACGCTTGAATCAATAAACTAGTATATTAATTTTATTTCACAGTAGATTTACAAACCATTGAGTTTGAACATTTAACGCAATCCCTTCAAAATTTGTAAATTCAATAAATTTGAATTTTTCAGTTGAAAACATATGCTCACCAGTTGACTATTGTCCATCAAAAAGAATGATACTTTATCTATGGAATAATGTAACAGCTTGTAGTTATTACATTCTTCTATAAATTGTTCATTATCTAAACCGCTCTATTTGATTTCAGGCATTCAGCAATCAATATGAACAAACCGAATGTTTATGTATATAAAATAGGCCAAAACTATGAATCCTTCCACAATCATATTCGAATAATGCTTCGCAAAAATTAATAATCTTTTGATTTTAAACAAAAAAAAGGCAGAAAATACAAATCCATATCATGAACAAGCAACAAACGGTTCCACATTTCATCTTAAGCCCTTGAAAGAAAAAAACGGGCGAAAATTCTTCTTATTTCTTATTTTGTCTTATTTAACTTACTCTGTGTTTTTTGTTGTCCATTGTTAATCATCTGTCACTGTAGATGCATTCTTTTCTCTCGTGTAAACAAGCAGCTCCTCATTCTTTCAATTGTGTTTTTTTGGTATGTAAAGACAAATCTAATTCCACAACTATTTTTATCTCATAAATTTTTTTTTCGGTACAATGCTCCGCTTATTTATCGCTTAGTAGTCTACCGAAATTTTAACAAACTCTACAGAGATAATGATAATTATGCCATTGTTTTCAAAAATAAGTAGATATATCCACCATGAAATAAACAAACTACCTCGTGTTTTTCGTTTATTATATTAACTAGATTGAATTGAATATTACTGTTCAACTCTACTCAGATCTTACTAGTTAATAGAAAGATATCAGACAAATTATATTGTGAAATTAAATGTATGTGCGCTATGTATGTCCTTTTATTCAATTATTTATAACTTCTTTATTCATATTGAAACATTCTGTTTTTTTTTTATCTACGTTCTACTGTCACATAATAAAAACACGATTGTAAAATTAAAATTCTAAATGAAAATAATAATAGCTTATATGGAGCTTATTTCGTTCCTTTTATTATGAACATTCAATAATAATTCTATTCACTAAAATCGAATAGTTATTCCTGTTACATTGTTCAGCTAATTGTCGGTTTCTTTATCATTGGAATTGTGGTATTATTTATTGAAATAAAATACTCATTAGTCATCCATCCACCTTCTTCTATTGACGTTTTATGATTCAAAGTCACAGAGTAAAACATAAAGATGTTGGTAGCAGTTTGGCTGTTTTCATGTTTATTTCTATCATACTAACTGACATATAAAGTTCATTTCTAAATTTTATTTTTTTTAATTCAGTGAATTCAACATTTAAACTCCTGGTTATTTCCCACTAACAAATCTTCAAAATCACAGTTAACATTGATCTTTTTTTTGAAACCATGAATCGATCAATGTCAGACCACCATTATAAACCTGGAAGCACTGGATTTCCGTTTCGTCCTGGTATGGGACTCCTCAGCAGTGCGCATCCACGAATCCTGCACCCCGCAGGATTCTAATGGTGGTCTAACATTGATCGATTCATGGTTTCAAAAAAAACTTAACAATCTTCCCAACCCCGTAATGCAAACTGATCATTTTATCAATTATACTTATTATCATAGCTGTTTTTGTCATTATGGTATATTATTTCACCATCTAATAGCTATCTCATTACTAAAATTAAACCTGACAAAACACTTTAACTTAATGACATATTTTGAAGAGTCAAACCTACCGAATAAGTAGTTCAACTCATGTAATGTATTCCGTACACTTGTACAACTTGTACAATTGTTTGGTATATGTTTTAATGGTAAGACTATGTATGATTCATGGACAGTCTTCCAACAAACCTTACAGAACCTTGACGAATTCCATCCAATCCAGAAAGATGAATACAGAGTTAGAATTTATAACATAGAACTAAAAAAATTAAAGTCCATACACTTAATACAGTTTAAAAACTTGTTCAGGTAACAAAGATTCTCTGCGGTTTTGAAATTTTACATGAACTCATCCATGTGACTTGATAACAGTCAATTGCAAAATTTCCAACCAATGTTACTGATGCTCTTATCATCCGGTTTGCTACAGTTAACATAACTTTTCTCAATATAGATCAAGATCGACTAGAAGATATATCTCTCTTGTTAGATTTCTATAAACTCCAATGATCTGTTCGAATTCTCCGCAAACCGATCATACCTTTGTGTCGAGTTCTGAAATAAGCTCCATGCCCTTGAAATCTCTTACTCGGTTATGATTAGTTCATCCACAGATTATAGTGTCTCGCCGTAATTCTACTTAAAGAATGAAGATTTGTATGTAGACTCACAATGTGGGGTTTTTATTTAAATCTGCCGGCTAATTATAACATATTTACCGTGCATATCAGTCAAGAATGTTAGTGTACATCAAATTCAATTTTTGTGACACTCATTTGCTTTCCCTATGAGTAGTATTAGATAAAAATACTTTGCATATATGAATGTCTTAATGACATTATAGTTTGTTTATTCGTATGAGATTCATAGTTTAATTATCACTTTACTCTTACAGACTCATTTAAAGAAATTTCAATTACTGTTAGTGAGTAAATCTTCAAAACTTAAAAGTGATTGAATGCTAGTTCAGTTACCACTTGGTTATAACCAACTATTGTGTACATTTGGAACACCTGACTTAAATATTTTATGGCTAGTCAATATTTGATCGGCCTACCTAGTAACATTACTTATAATTAAGCAAAATATTCTATTCACTCAATAGTTCAGCACCTGAATGGAAGTAACTTTTCGTTCACGGAAACTGCAGCTTTATAAAACTGCGAACAAATAAAAATTTTGAAATATTTATCACCGTGTTGGCACAATAAATCGTAGATAATATTCATTAGTTTTTCGTTTGATTTCCCTGCTACTGAAAAGAAAGATAAGGTTATTTAGAATAGGCTGAACAGCTAAATCCCTCTTCACTAAGAAAACCATTTTCCTGAAAAGACGTTAGAAAACTTAAAGATTTACATAATTCAACAATGTTGTTGCTCGATAGTTGTTTCAAGTTCCAAATATTCCCCAATCGTACAAATTCTGTTCTTGCTCTGCCTAATCCCGCCTTCACATCTGCATCAGATCCACCCTGTTTATCAGTTTCAGATGTGCAAAAGTCGCCACATCTTCCAGAGATTTTCCACCAAGTGTGATTTGGTAGGTGCATGTTGTATTGCATCTGAGGATCTTGCTTTTCCCTGTGTTTATGTTGAGACCTACTGCTGTAGAGGTTGCTGCCACTACATTGGCCGATTTCATTTGCGTTTGTTGTTGTGTGTAAGATAAAAGAGCTAGATTATCTGCGAAGTCTAAATCGTTTAGCTGCATCCCAGCTGTCTATTCCATTTCCTGCTTCCCTCGGGAAGTTGACGTCTTTATATTTCAGTTAACCACCGGAAGAAATGAAGCGCGTGAGAGTAAGCAACCTCGCCTGACACCGATCTTTCTAAATCCTTGCTTGTTTGCTTCTCTGTATTTGGCCTGTTCCTTGGTTTCCTTTACTTTCGATCACGTCCCCCATCGTCCTTCTCAAAATTTACTTGATGTGATATAGTCGGTTTGCTTCTGTGTTGTGTGATCCGATGGAATACACGTATCTTTGTTTACGCATTTGTATGGCGATTTATATATAGTCATTTTTTTATTGAAGTGCAGTCGGTCGTCGGAAATATCATGTAAAGGCTTTGACTGTTCTAAACGTCATGGTTCAGATGGACAACATCAGAAATGAAGGCATCATAGAACGACATGGATTGGAAGAAAGAAGCAAAATCGGTGAGGGATTCTCAAATCTATTTTCCTTTAAAAAAAATTGCAATGTGAGTCATCATATTCCAAAACAAACGCATAAATAAAGCTTCCTGTGTTTCACTGGACTACAATACACAGAACCAGATCAATCATAACACAATCTCATTACAGAATCTAATTCAAAATCATTACACTGCAATAAACTTATCCATTCAAATATGAACGTTTTTCTTTGTGATAATATGTCGTTTAGATTTTTGGACTCATATTCAACAACCAACATTAGAAATTTTCCATACTAGTTATGTCAAATAACAATGATTGCATTTGTTAAGTAAGGAAGCTTGAATTCAGTGAAAAAAATATGAGTTGTATAATTCAATCTCATTAGTTATTCTAATTGTTTGGGAAATCGAGAAAATAAACGACTGTTATAGTAAAACACATGAATTATTAATTAGAAATTGGAGGCAGTATATTTATTGTTTGTCAATGCAAACATCAAGTAACTAGTTATAAATTGTGGCTTTCAATTTTCTGATATGTACTTTAATCTCTTCAACTTTTGAAGTAAATACGCAGTGAATATGCAATATTTTGTTGCTTGATTGAATGGAATAGTGAGTTTAAACATGTATGACTAAAATACTGAACGGAAAAATAGGTGATGAATCTTTTATAACAGTGTAGGGAAAACCTAAATATAAATTCATAGCCAGTGTCTACTACTGGAAAC